TGTCTCATCTGCACTCCCATCTGAAGGCTGTAAATCTTCGCTGGGAGCCGACCACCTCAGCTTTTCTCCCTCAGAGCGACTTTGAACTCCTGACCAATTGGCTAACCGCTCAACATGGAGCCTAGTAGTACACCATTAGTCTGGGCCATCTGGTAAATGTTGTCATTATGTGCTTTTGAGTCGAATGTGACACATAGTAATCCTATGAATAGCAGATTTGATGCCTGTCCCGTCCAGCACCATCCTAATCATCTCTGACACACTTGAACCCATTGCTGCAACCACTGTGTCAGTCCATCTGCCCCCTCATTTTAAGTGACTTCTAATCTGGGCTCTACCTCTAATACTATATTCCTCTATTGTTCATTGGTTTTTTAGAGCGAAGACAGTGCTGCTTCCTTGTCTGTCTTAAACTGGGAGCTCTATTGAAACCTGTTTGTCAGGACTGACTCTTCTGGCATTTTAAACCAATGGTTTCCAGCTTCAAGCATAACAACAGCCCATACGTTATCTTAGTACAGTAAACAGACAGACAAGTGCAATAAGAGCAAATAATAATGAACATTAGAGGAGGCAACAGATACCTCTGTTTTTTCAAAGAGACAAATGCTTTCAAAAAAATACTCAGGCTACCTTGGAAAAGCATCGCACAGAGCTTTGGATTTTTCTTCCTGGTTGACATGAGTCTGTCCACATTTTAGATGCCTGAAGGCAGGCAAGTGACTAATCCTGGGGCTGTGTGTGGCCAGTACCAAATGCGTTTTGTGACCACAAGCCCATGTCTGGATTCTCCTTTGTAATTACCACGCGGCCTACTGTAATTGTAAAACTTATACTTACTTCCTGCCTTTGACATGTAATCAGGGTCCCAGTCTAAATTCTGAGCCAGAGTGAAATTTGCCTAAAACCTATAAAACCCCCATTGTGTGAAGGTGCACGTGTATTTCTCCATCTGTTAAATATATCCTTGTGAAGACTGTGCCCATCCTGGTCTTGTTGGATGACGCCCGTGACTAATCAGGTGTTTGTTCAACACCTACTACTTACTCTATCCTAAGGAGCATTTAAGATTCTAGGAAACATGAATGGACAAGACAGCTATGTCCTCATTTTCCTGGAAGGTAGAGAGGGAGGGAGAGAAAGAGACTAGAAAATGGAGCCTAGTGCTGTGTGCTGCGCAGAGAGTTAGAAGGCATGTGCCGAGAAGAGAAATGCCTGGTGTCCTCTCTAGCTTAAGGCATTGGAGAAGACCACTCTGAAGAGGTGGCATTGAAGCTGGCCTTTTAAAAGGACAGTGTGGAGCAGGACAAGCAGAGATGAGGGGAAGAACATTCCAGGCGGGTTAACGTAAAGGCCCAAAGAGGAGAAAGCACTTGCATGTCCCAGAAACAAGAGAAAAGGCAAGTGTGGCTGGAACGTGGTAGGTGAGCGAGGCAGGTGGGGACCGCATCACGGAGAGGAGGGTGACAGGGCCGCTGTGGGCGTGGGCTGGGGAGGGCTGGACTCTCAGGGATGCGTTGCTGCCCGGAAGGAGGCTGCTCTGGAAGCCCGGGCAGGAGGCAGCAGTGGTTTGGGCTGAAGTAGCGAAGGACGAGCAAAGGCTCTGGGTTTAGAACATGATTCAGTATCAGAGTCACCAGAACCTGCCGACAAATTGGATATGAAGAAAGAGAACAGTCGCGAATAGTGCCGGAGATTTCCGCTTGAGCAGCTGAGGACCTGATGAGTAAGGCCAAAGAAGAGCTAGTTAACTCTTCCCCAGCGGTCGCAGCTGACTCACCGTGGAACCCCACCTCTGATCCAGCAAGCACCCTGGCCACCCTCGGCTGTACCTCGCTGGGCATGGCCACAAGACTTGACTGTCCAGTTCGTTGCTTCTTCAGGTGTTTTCACAAGTGCTGCTTTTCTTTTGGAAAAAAGGTACTTTATGAACTCAGAAAATGATCACCCTTAGGTTACTTCACTCATAACCCAGGAGCTCCCCTCTGCGGGGGTTGCTCCCTGCCTAGGCTGACCCTGTGCAGCCCAGACCTGGGGTGCTTGGAACCCAGCCCTGTAGGAACTGCTGGGCCCTGAGACTTGCAGGGACGCTTACACTGCCATTCAGTTCTAACAAATTTGATTTTTGTGTGTAGAAAATAAAGTGACTGAACTTGCTTTTCTTTATAATCAGGAAAATGCATATGAGCTCTTTACTAGGGATTAAGCTAATTCCGTATAATTGTTTCACTATGATCCCAAACTCCACTGTCATCGAATCAGTTCCATCTCATAGCGGCCCTCCACGACAGAGTAGCCCTGCCCCAGGGGCTCCAGAGCTGGGATATTTGGAAGCAGACTCCCACATCCTTCTCCCAGGAAGTAGCTGTAGTTTCGAACCTCTGACCTTGAGCTTAGCAGCCAAGCAAGCATTTTAACCACAGTGCAGCCAGAGTTGTTTTGTTTTTTTACTTTTAAGATCAATAATTTCTACATCTGATTTAAAGTGTACTGGGAGCTTAAATGTTCTTTGTCCATACAATGAAAATAGAGGTGTATTTCCTTTCCAAAGTATTTTTAAGGACCCAGTGGAGTAATACATACAAAGCGTGTCACAGTTTCTGCTGGGTATCATTCCATGGTTGAGTCAGTTGTGCCTCATCCGTTTCTAAGACTGTAAATCTTAGAAGGAGACTGCCCATCTTTCTTCAGCAGAGTGACTAGCGGATTTGAACTATCAACCTTTCAGTTTAGTAGCCTCACAAGTTAGACCCTACACCACCAAGGTCCCTCATCTGCTACGTAGCATTCCGTAAACTTGAAGTATTGTTATTATTAATTGCATAACCTACTGAGGAAGGAAGCCTACATATTGCTTTGAAATGATTTTTTTAATATATGTACCTGAACCAGCACACCAGTTTTCAGATTCCTAGTAGCCAGTGGTCATGGTTTTCAGTCGTTTCGTATGTCTGTAAAATTCGGTCAATGAGTAAGGGAGAGCTGATGCTTTAGTGTCGTGGTATTGGGAGAGGACATGAACGACACCCTGGGCTGCATAAAGCCAGCGTTGTCTTAGAGCAAGTCCAGGTGGGGTGCTCCTTAGAAGCAAGCGTGGCGACACAGCATCTCACACACCTTGGGCATGTGACCAGAAGGGACCAGTCCCTGGAGTACGTCCTGCTTGGATAAGAGGAAGGTCAGCAGAGTAAAGGAGGCCTCCCAGTGAGGTGGGCTGACAGAGGGCGTGGAGCAGTGGGCTGTGAGGATGCAGCAGGGTCGGACAGGGCTGTGTTCTGCTGTTCATGGGAGAGCTGGGAGTTACATTTTCCATGAACCTAGGAGATGAACTGGAGTTCCGTTTTTGTTCTCTTCCTTTTTCCAAGTTGATTTAAAAATCCTTCTGGTTCTGTGTCTTGAGGTCTGCTAACTGGGTGACTCTGGTTGTGGCCCTTTGCTGACACACTGCAGAATCCCCACGTCAATACCACGTTCTGTGGGTGCAGACGAGGCGTGAGGAGCTGTGCTGTGTGGAGATTAGATGTTGGTACTCTGTCCGTGGCACCGTGCTATGTGGAGGTTAGGTGTTTGTTGGCAGTGTGTCTGTGGCACCGTTCTGTGTGGAGGTTAGGTCACTCTGTCCGTGACACCATGCTGTGTGGAGGTTAGGTCACTCTCTCCGTGGCACCGTGCTGTGTGGAGGTTAGGT